ATAGAGAGGCGATTGTTAGAAAAGATCTGATTGGTGCATCTGCGACGATCTTTCACGGTCTCACTGGGGTAGCTGTTATGCAAACAGTGCAACACTCAATTACTGTAAGAATATCATCACAATTATTTCCTATGCTATTTAAAAGGTATGTAAATGTCTTTATTTATGAATTCAGGTTCTCATTATAATTTCCTTTTAACTGAAATATTCGAATTCTAAAGTTTTCAGAGAAGAGGGTCAATTCTGATCGCTTTATTCTTTTAATTGTAACCTTACATCGCTTCAATTAGTGATTGTGGATCGCGTATTCGCTTCAATAAGTCACTGCATCACCTGACATCAACGTAAAGAAATAAAAATATGAAATTTCTAAGTTGCAACACTTCCTACGGTATTTTTGTTAAATCCATCTGCATGATATTGAATTGTATTGAATCTTTTCAAGAAAAAAGAATTAACCAGTTAACATGAACAAATTTCGATTTCAATGTCATGTGAGATGAGATGGTGGTAATAAGGGTCGTAACATATATTACGTTGATATTATTTTAAAGTTTTCAATAACATTTACCCATAAAATTTTAAAAGTTATTTTATTATAACTTCATAAAAAAGAACTTTACTACTCATCTAACCCTAACATTGGATTTATCACTCACAAATATATATCTGATATAGACAACAATTATGATCCCGGAAATATTGGTTTCGATTTCTATAGCAATGTTGTCAATTTTAATTACGATGACAATGCAAATATAATGTCCTATAGTACACCTTCTGGATACATGGATAATTATAGCTCTAGGTACTATAATTTTATTGTGTAAATTCAGTTGTTTACTTGTGATTCGTTTTATTAATTTATAAATTTTATCAGCGCTAATAACGGTACAAGTTCCTATTATCCCAGGTATATGATTGTGAATGATTCCGTAGTATAATTTTATTACGTAAATTCAATTTTTTACTTGTGATTCATATCAGATATTGTTAATTCATCTTAATAATAGCTCTTTAGGTTACGGAGAAATGGTTCCTTCAGGAAATACGAATAATAAAATATTTAGGTATAATAGTTCCATTGAGCAAATTTAGTTGTTTACTTGCGATTCACTTTATTAATTCATCTGAATATTTTCGAATGTATTAGTGCTACTAATATTACCGAAAAAAAAAAAAAAAAAAAAAAGAAAGTAATCGACGTTATATCGAAAAAAAAGCGGCCAAAATTAAAGATCTTGAAAAAAAGGAGATGATTATGGCTGCTGAAATTAAAGATCTTAAAAAAGAAGTTCAAGATCTTACGACAGAAAACAATAAGCTTAGGACAATTTTAGATTATTTTAAAAATGATATTAAAAAGATTAGTACTAATTTAAACAATTATTAAAAAGATCTCCAACTTTGTGTCTAGAAAACATCAGGGAGTGCTTACTAAAGTTCGGAGAAAAATGAAAAAGATTATCATTATGTAGCATTCTATGAACATTAAATAAAATTCCACATTCAAGTCTTACTATATAGTAAATCATTAAACATTTAAAAAGAAAAACAAATATGTTTACTCTAGGCTTTAAATATGCATTTTTTGGATTTTAACTTTAGACATCCTTTTATATAATAATTGTATAACAGTTAAAAATTAAAAAATTTAAAAGGATTTTTCATATTTGACACATAAATTGATGTACGTACGTACGGACAACTGGAGGGTTTTGCAGTTCAATAAATACCGATACACTATATACTAAATTGCAGATACGGTGTTAATTTTTTAGTTTGTAACCCGTCACATTGCTCCGAGTAACTTATAAATATCTACCAATCGAGTTATGACTATTATTGGATAGATATGAAAGCTGTAATCGGTTTGCTTAATTCAACTTAAATTTGAGTTACGTAACCCGGTTTTAACAGTAACCCATTTTAATATGTAACAATCGGGTTTAATATTGATAGTAAATACGTAAAAGTTTAATTTGTTGTGAACATTAATAAAAGATTTTTATATGAAAACTAACCAACATTCTCATTACGGCAAATTTATGAAATCAGAGCATTTTGACTCACTACGAGGTGCGTCATTTACTATTTGTTGTTTGACATTTCTTATGTAAAATCATATAGATAACGTCTAACCCATCTT